GGAGCCCTCCCAAGCACAGCTGTGAACCACGAGCTCTCCAGTCCACAAGCATCCTACAGCCACAGACGTGGACAGGCCCCCAGCTGGAGGCAGGTGACATCAGCCACCTGGAGCAGCCAGGCTGAGCCACCCGGGCACTCAGGGCCCTCCTCCTCCCGATGCACCCAGAGTCGCTCCCCTTCATGTCACATCTTGATACCGGAGCCCCGCATCCATTTCTTTATACCTCCCTCTACTCAGTCCAATACCTTCCAGATGCCCAGGCAGGGCAGACTTTCGGGGACAGGGAAATCAAATCTGCCGCCTTTTGGTGTACAAGGTGACGTTCCAACCAACTGAGCCACCTGGCCGGGGCCTAAGAAGGATATTTTTAAACCACTGTTGGTTGTAACATGTACCTTTCTGCTTGCACACAATGCTGGTTAACTTTGACAGAGAGCTCTGCAACTACCATACCAAGCGTCCCTCCTTGGGAAAACCTGTTTTGAAACAGGTCCTGTGTTTCTGCCTCATAGATTCATTATTAAGTGTTGGAAGATTTTCCAAATCTCTAATGTCAGGGAGAGAACGGAACCCAGGTCAGACGTTGGTGCATCCTGGAATATCTTTTCATTGTACTGAAGTTTGGGCTGAACTTGTATGACGCTGCTGCTTCCTCATTCCACATTGCTCAGTAGTTTGCAGAGATGGCTACGGAGAGTTTGGGTCCCAGACTTGACAACATGCCCAGCAAATCCGAGGGGCCTTGTGAGAACTTCTTCTCCCAGAAGATAGAAGACCCAGTTCCAGCCAATAAGGAGGAAATGACTGGAGAAGTGAAATTAGCCACATCATGGAAGGAAATGGCCAAATCACCTTTGATGATGTAACAACCTGCTAGTAGAATCAGACACAACAGGCAGTTTAGGAGAGAAGCGTTTTATCATAGATTTTAGGAGAGAAGAATTTTTTAGCATCATAAAAATAAACACAATTCCAGGCGTAGAACCCTAAAGAGATTTTTTGGACAGTGCTATAACAAAGCCTTCAGGAAAAAGGAAAAGACAAAGGAAATCAAGCGACAGAGCTGCCAGTAGCAGGTGAGAAAGAAAAGAGGAATAAGGAAGAGACTCAGAAAAGGGAAGAGAGAGAACTGAAAACCCTGTTTAGAAAGTCCCAGTGCGGCCCTGAGAGAAGGAGAAAGAAGAAAGTTCACACACACATCACAGCCTGGTCGAGCGTCAGGAGGGAGGGTGGAAGGGCCGCATGTAGGGATAGAGCTGCTGAGATTCATACAACTGACAACCAGATGGCGTTTAAAATATAATCAGATGCTTGAGAAAGGGCAGCGTGGACAGCACAAGAAGGGGACAATAAATGTTCAAACAATTAACAGTGATTTTTAAAACCATCTGGTTTGGGTTCAACTAACTTGTGTTTGAATCATGGTTCCAGTATTTACTGGCTGTATGGTCTTAGATAAGTCACTTCTGCCAGCCTTAGTTTCCCCATAGGTGAAATGGGTCGATACTATATACCTTAAAGTTTACTGTGAAGACTAAATAAGACCATGAGACAAAAGTTCCTGGCCCTTAGTAGGTGCTCAGTAAAGGACAGGTGGGTTTGTTTTCTTAGTATTGTTTTTAAATTTGTATCCAAGAAAAATGTATAATACAAGGGTGTGGTAGGAGGCCTGCATGCCACAACCTGCAGGACAAACCCAGCTAAAGCCGTCCATCCATGTGTCACCTGTGGCTGCTTTCTCACAACAAGGGCTGACCTAAACAGTTGCAGCAGAGACTGTATGGGCTGCAGAGCCTTAAAATATTTACTCTCTGGCCCTTTTCTATTGTTTAAATGACTACTAGGTCTAATATATAACTTTGAGCTTGTGCACAGCATTGGCTAACTTTGACAGATCAGTTCTAGAACTACCTAATCAAACACCACTCATTGTGAAGACCTATTTTGAAAACTGGGTCCTGTGTGGCAGCCTTTTTTCTATGGCCCTTTATGAATCACATTTCCAGACTCTTGATGTAAGTGCACCAGAAGCCTGTGTTTGTGGCCGACTCTTACAATGTCTCATGTGAGAAAAGACACAGAGTAGGAGGGTCCTGGCATCCACCTCACCCACCCCAGGGCCTTTGTTGCTGGATCCAAAGGAAGGTCAAGGTTTCACTGGCCTCCCAGAGGTGGAGAAGCCACTGGAGTTCATGCATCCCATCAGACCCAGCTGCCTGCTCATTCTGCTAAGCCCTCCTTGTTCTAGACTGAGGGAGAGGACCTGGGTGCAAGAGGATGCAGGCCCAAGGAGATGATGCTATAAGATGAAGAGCAGAGATCTCAAACCAAAAATCAGACTGTGCAATCCCGAATAATCCTCAAAGCAGAAAGCAAAGGAGAGAGGTAGCCATGGAGACAGATATGGCTCTAACAGGACATTTATGCTTTCAGATGCCAACAAGACCCATGGAAATTATGGAAGGCCAGGCAGACTCTTAAGAACAATGTCAGGATGTCAGTGCCAAGGATGAGATGGGATTTGGAGAAATGGCAGGGACCATTCTGGCTTAGTTCTGTTCTGAGCAAGAGAATGAACACTAAAGGACTGGCCCATGGCAAAGAGCAGACCTTATTCCTTTCACCCATGATAATGTAAGGAACTAGCCATGATCTTTTTGCTTGTCTTTTTGTTCAAAATGATTGGAGACCATCTGGGTGTGGTCAATTTTTTTTTTATATATTTTATTGGTTTTTTACAGAGAGGAAGGGTGAGAGATAGAGAGTCAGAAACATTGATGAGAGAGAAACATCGATCAGCTGCCTCCTGCACACTCCCCACTGGATATGTGCCCGCAACCAAGGTACATGCCCTTGACCGGAATCGAACCTGGGACCCTTCAGTCCGCAGGCCGACGCTCTATCTACTAAGCCAAACCGGCTAGGGTGGATGTGGTCAATCTTAATAAGAGAGGGTAGGAGCCCAAGATCCGACATAAGATGGTAACATGGCACTTGCTACTCTGAACAAATGCCAGTCTTCTCTCTTGGAGGAAGGGGCTGCCAGGGTAGAGGATAACCTGCATCTGACAAGGGCTTGAGAGATGCAAGAGCTGAAGAATTCCCCCAAAGCTGGAGCTCCTGACATTGCCCGCCCCCCGCCCCCCACTTCTGCCGGGTTTGTTTCCTGGGGTTTGCATCACTTTCTACATTATCGTCGCTCTCCCAGCCCTGACCCAGGGCAACTGTCTTTGTAGTGAGATGCTCTCTGCCCTGGGGATGAGAAGGAAGTGCTATGACCTGCGTGGTCTCCTTGGAGAGGCAGCGTTTAATACGTGTATTATGCAAGCTGCTTGCGTGACACAAGATGTTTCACTTCCTGAGAGGAACAGGAGGCTGCCAGGTTTTTCATGCAGGCTACAAGGCCGGGATGAGATGTAGAGACTACTGTATATAACAACGTCAAGGGTCATTGCCCCATAACTCCAAAATTCCCCTGGAGCAGGAAGAATGAGACTCATATATCCTCGACACCAGGAGATGGAGAAGTAGATTCGAGCTTCCTACCTCTATTGCAAGCCCAAACATGGTGCTCCGGTCCCTAGCATACCTCACTTTCTGTCACTGGCTCTCATCCTTCATTCAGCTTCTAATCACATCTACAGATTGAGAGCATCTCGTGTTCTCTGTCAGGAGAGCCCACAGAGCTTCCAGACCAACAGATCCTGCTGACTCCAACACAAAGACTCTGAGGGAGGGGGTGGTTCCATCAGTGAGACTTGGGGACCAGTGGTTACTTTGTAGAGTGGATACTATGGAGGCAAAACAAAAGTTCACCAGGCTCCCTAGATGAGGCCTCTGGGGTGTCTGCAGAACCAGACACCCAATTTCATGAGGGCTCAGAGTTGGGAACAGGCTACTGCTTGTGAAACTCACAAGAAATTGATGCATTGAATATGCAACTTTTAGATTCCTGTGAAATATGTAACTTACCAAAGATGGAATTTGTGTGTCTGCCTTCCTGATATAAAGGCACTAGGAGCCAAGCTAAGAGTCAAAAGGCTGCTTGGTACAATAGCTAAGACCTGGAAACAGCCCAAGTGCCCATCAGTAGATGAGTGGATAAAAAAGCTGTGGTACATTTACATAATGGAATACTAAGCAGCTCTAAAAAAGAAGGAAATCTTACCCTTTGAGACAGCATGGAGAGACCTGGCGAGTATTATGCTAAGCGAAATAAGCCAGTCAGAGAAAGACAAATATCACATGTTCTCACTTACATGTGGAATCTAATGACCAAAATAACCTGACAAACAAAATAGAACCAGAGGCCTGGAAGCCTGGAACAGACTGATGAATCTCAGAGAGAACAGGGGAGGAGATGGGAAGAGATTAACCAAAGAATTTATATGCCTATATGCATAACACAGACAATAGTGCGGAGAAGGCCTGGGGTGGAGCAGGAGCTGGGTGGAAGGGGGCAAATGGGGGTTGGGGGGGAATGAGGCACATCTGTAATACTCTCAACAATAATTATTTTTAAAAAAGGAACCAAAGGCTGCTTGGCAAGTATGCCCATTAGGCTGCCCTTGCCCCACAGTAGAATCCCTGGCTCTCCTGCCTGTGAGTCGGAAGCCCTCTCCCTTGGACAGTGCAGAGCAAGCACAGCAGCTGGCACATCGTAGGCACATGCTTATTTGAGAGAAAACACTGTCAAACTTCCCGCTCACCCACTCAGGCAGCACACATTCACTGTCTGAGTTCGCATACCAGGCAGTGTGGTAGACACAGCTTCAAAAGGTTCCCAGCCCCCTGCGGGACCACATGAGTGAGCAAAGTTTCAATTCAGTGCTGTGATGCGTGCGATGATACAGATGGGCCAAAGCAGGCCAGGAAGGCCCTGTTCCTAGACTCCATGCACCAGTTGTGAGCCAGCTACTCATTCATATTCTAAAATGTGAGGGCTGTCCCAAGGCAGGCACTACACTGGGGTCTGGTGCATTTCTGTATCCTAACAACAAAATATCTGAAAGAGAAGTAAAGAAAACAACCCCACTGGCAATAGCACCAAAAATAATAAAATAGGGGTAAATTTAACCAAGAAAGAGAAAGATCTGTACCCTGAAAAATATAAGACATTGATGAGATAAATTGAAAAAGACACAAAGAAATGGAAAGATATCCTATGTTCATGGATTGGAAGAATTAATGTCGTTAACATATTCATTCTACCTAAAGCAATCTACAGATTCATTGCAATACCTACCAAAATTCCAATTAAAACTTTCTCTAACCTAGGAAAATCCCTCAATAAGAGTGACATGGCCTGCATAATGGTTGTAGAAGACAATGTTTACTTGCATGAGGACACGTGTGCTTATGTGTCTCAGGTCATGGCCACTTGCCCTTCCATGGACTGGAGAATTCGTTCAGTTTGCCTTCTCCCAGAAGTTACCATCATCCTCTTTTTTAAACTTGGTTGTGACACCAGTTAACCAAAGGGGAAATTTCTCAGCTCGGAAATTTCTCTTCACTTCTGCTTTTGAAGGCCATAAAACAGAGAAATTGGCAGGCAGCATTCCTCTCCGAGGCGACACGGGCTAGTCCAGAACTCTGTTCTCTCCGCCAGACTTCATTGCTCGGGTATGACTTCAACCAACTCTTTTATGATCAGGTCCTAAGGGGTCTCTCTGTCTCTCCGCTTCTGTCTGTCTCCTTCCCTCCTTCTCTTCCTTGCTGCCTGAGGGCTGGGTTTATTTGCACAAATGCCAGGTGTACGGTTATGCTATGATTTGTGAAGTGTTCTGGAATGAACACTGCTTATAGCAGCTGACCCCTGAGAGGTCAGGGTCAAAGCCCCTGCTCCCAACAGATGTGCACCTGATTCAGGTTTGGTTTAGCAAAGGCTTCCCTCTGGGCCCAAAGGGAGGGTCTTTCATACATCTGTTCATTCATTCAAAGATTGTTTCCTTGCCTGCTGTTCATGTACTAGGTGCTGAGGGAAACTCACCTGCAGGCGGGGCATGGCACGTGCCTCTCATGTTTCCCCTCTTCACACAGGTTTCTGAAGCAGCCATGGCAGCAGTGCCTGAACTCGCCAATGAAGTGATGGCTTACTACAGGTCAGTGGGGAGACTGAGACCGGTGGGGGAGCAGGGCTCCTCGTTCAAGAGTGCAGTGTTGTCTGTGTGTGGAGACCAGCTTTGTCCCCACTCTGCGCCCTTCAGTGGCAAGCAGGGTTTCAGTTAGCCTGGTTTAAATGCTGATTTCCCCCAACAAGCCCGGCCTTGGGACCCACGGGCACCCCGGTGCTGTTGCCGGGCTTCCTGCAGAAGGCAGGAGGGCAGAGAAGATGCCAGGCGGGCGGCACAGGGTGAAGTTCGGCTTCAGTGGGAGGCAAGGCTCCGATTTTAGGGCCTGGACATTAGGCCCCAGGACCCCTCAGGGAGCACCCATGCCTGTCCTGTCACCTGGGTGTCCCATGCATATCCTCACGGGACTTGCCAGCTTCCAGCAGCCATACGGGACATGCTGCTTGTAGTTCCCTATGAACAGGAATGACTGTTTGCAGGAAGGAAGAATAAGCTTGTCTGGGAGACATAATTGAGCAGTGTCTCTGATTTTATTACAGTGACGATGAGAATGGCCTGTTCTTTGAGGCTGATGGCCCACAACAGACTAAGGTAAGACCAGGAGCTTAGATCCAACCCATGGAGGGGCTTTGAGCTGGGAAAGGCTCAAGGGAAAGGGTCTGGGACACCTCGACCCTGTGGTATTTTATGATAGAATGACTGTCACGTCTTCCAGTGAGACCGGTGCAGGCCATGCTGACCTGGCCACTGTGCAGCCTCCCACACCACAACGTCGCTCACTAAGGCTTGGTGATGGCGCCATGCTTACAGAGGGCCAGGGGCACGTCAGTGGTGATAGGTTTGCTGTGTGATGTCAGAAAGACAGCCAAGGCTGCAAGGGGCTTCAACACAAATTTGATTCTCCTTTTAGGAGAGGGCCTCAGCCTGCACACTCCCCAGAGCCAAGTTCTGAGACCCAGAGGAGATAACCTTGAGAGTTAACATGTCTGCCTCGCTTTGAGGTAGAAGAGTTTTTTGCTCCCTGGCGTAGAGTTAATGACAAGATGTAGATGATGTAACCAAAATGATGAATAGGGAGTGGAAAGAAAATCACTCACTTGCTGTTTGATCTTAGACAAGTCATTTCACCGTTTTGGGTCAGGCCTGAAATGTTTGGAAACCAGCATAACTGGTTTAGTCCCTCCCAGAGTGGGGAGTGGCCTCTCCCTCTGGCCCTTTGCCTCTCCCAGCCACCTGACTGTCAGTCACAGGTCGCACAGTCAGCATTCCTCTGTGCCATTAAAGGTCTCTCCACTGTCTCTCAAGCTTTTAAACCTTAGGACAACCTCGGTAAACCTTATTACAGTTACACAGTTTCTCCAATAACAGCAAAGTGGTAACACACTTTACAAATAGCAACCACTTTTAACGTATTTGCAGAATGCTTATGAAACAGCATTCTGGAAAATAATTAAAAATTTGCTGAATGAGCATAGATGTATAGAAAATATTATACTCACCACTGACATAAAAATTTAAATGCATAGTGTTAGAGTATTAGGGGTTCTAAAAGGTATAATGTGTAAAAAGGTAGAAACTTATGGTTAGTGGAGCAGCTGTACAAAAGATACACAAGGTACGAACGGGATTTATTCAAAAAGAATGCCACAATTGGCATCAAAAAGCCCACATTCTGGCCTCTAACCTGCCACGTGCCCTTGGGTAGGCCACCTAGCCGCTCTGGACTTTAGAGAGATGCGAGTCTTTCCATAGAGGAATGGTTATATCTCAGGGTCCTCCCACCCCTCTGATGACAACACGGTTCTCTGGCCCGGCCACCTCAGCACGCTCCCTTCCCTGGTCTTCCCACAGTGCTCCTTCCAAGACCTGGACCTCAGCCCTCTGGGAGATGGGAGCATCCAGCTGAAAGTCTCCCAGCAGCTCTACAACTCCAGCTTCAGGCGGGCCGTGTCGGTCGTCATTGCCGTGGAGAAGCTGAGGAAAGTGCACATGGTCTGCCCACAGGACTTCCAGGATGACGACCTGCGGAGCCTCTTCTTCTTCATCTTTAAAGAAGGTACTTCTGAGAGCTCAGGGCAGACATATCTCTGCTCACTTCCTTCTCTGTGTCCATAACTCAACGATCAATTAAACTCCCCCGGAGCTGAAACCCTGGTGAATGAAAAGGGCGACATAGCAGACCCGAGAAGCTCAGGAGGCCACGTGCAGGCCTGGAAAGCTTGGTGACCCAGAGGAGCCGCCCAGGATAGTCTGGTTACAAATTGCTAACTGGGCGGTCATGTGGGCCATGAAGTCCCAAGCTTGTAGCTTCCTTAGCAAATGTCACTCTTTGCCTTAAGGAACCCTGTCCATTGTTCCTATGCTTCTCAGGAGAGCACACTTTTGAAATGTCAGAGTGATTTTCTTTCCTTATGTCCGAGGGGCACAACTATAGACACCAAAGCAGGAGACCACAGACCCCCTTCTTGTCCTCTTGTTCCCACCTACCATCTCTATGTCTCTATGTGCTGCAAATAGTAATTAACTGTCCCTTAGCCACCAAGGTCAAGGAAGTGTGTGTCTCTCCATTTTGTTTTTATCTAATCCCAAAGATATCCCTTTTCTGCTTTCTCCTGCCCCCTACATCTACCACCAATATAATCTTCCCTACGTTATCTCCTTTGATTCTAAAGCATAAAATAAGCTGCAAAACTACTCCTCCCTGGCCATTGTGGTCAGTAGTTAGAGTATCAGCATGCAGACCAGAGGGTTGTGGGTTCAATTCCCAGTCAAGGGCATGTATCTGGGTTGCAGGTTCGATCCCCGACCTCAGTTGGGGGGGATGTGCAGGATGCAACCGATCCATGTGTCTCTCTCACATTGATCTCTCTCCTCTCTTCCTCTCCCCCCTCCCTTCCACGCTTTCTTAAAATCAATGAGAAAAATATCTTCTGCTGGGGATTAACAACAACCGAAAACTGCTATTCTCCAGAGCATTTTTTCAATTTGTTGACATTGTGCTTCAGGCATGTCCTCAACATCTGGGCTCTGATAAACTCTTATAAAGCTTTCTACAGAACTGGATGTTCTCTTGTCAACATGTGTTTGGCATAGCCAGCAGGATTCTAAATAAGCCCACCCAGGACCACCCTGCGACCCCGGACCCGGAGCTAGGTACCAGCAGGGGCCCACTGAGCCCCACCGGTTCCTGCTTCGCATCAGGTGATCTTGGGTGAGTTTCCTCTTAGAATCTTGAGCCTCCTTTTGCTTGAGGTTGTAGGTCCGACTTTATTTGAGCTGTTATTAGAAAACCCTTGAGGTAGCACTATAAGATAAAGGTGCGGTAACCCAGGGACTGGAGGAAAATGAAAGACTGCTTTGGTTATTATTTTTTCTTTTTTAAAATATATTTTTATTGATTTCAGAGAGGAAGGGAGAGGGAGAGAGAGATAGAAACATCAATGATGAGAAAGAATCATTGATCAGCTGCCTCCGCCCCCTCCCTCCGCCCCCCAACTAGGGATCGAGTTCATAACCTGGATATTTGCTCTTGATCAGAATTGAACGTGGGACCCTTCGGTCCACAGGCCAACGTTCTATCCACTGAACCAAACCAGCTAGGGCTAGAATTTATTTTTCAATTATAACTGACATAAAAAGTTATGTTAGTTTCAGGTGTACAGCATAGTGATTAGACATTTAAATACCTTATGTGGTGACCCCCCCATAAGTCTAGTACCCATCCGACACCATACATAGTGATAATATTATTGACTAATCCCCTATGCTGTACTTTACATCCTATGACTGTTTTTATATCTGGCAATTTGTATATCTTAATCCCTTCACTTTTTTCACCCATCACCCCAACCTCCCTCCCATCTGGCAACCATCAGTTTGTTCTCTGTATCTATGTTTCTGTTTGTTCATTTATTTTGTTTTTTAGATTCCACATATAAGTGAAATCATATGGCATTTGTCTCAAGCTGCTCCACTCTATCCTCTGCTTTCTTGCATGGACTTGCCCTCCTTTCTTCCTCTCTCTTCTCTTGCCCCTACATCTCCTCCACCACCACTCCCTAGTGGCCTAGAGGAAACTGAGAATAGAAAGCAAGACTACAATAAACTGGGGAAACCAGAAATACTGGCAGCACCCTTTAGGGAAAGCCAGTGCAGGCAGGGGAAACTAGCAATGGTATACATTCCTTGGACTAGAACAGAATTAAGGAATCTAACTAGAGATTTCCCTGATCCTCTCCAAGACTCTAATGGATTAACAAAGGAACTTGATTTAACTATTAGAACATATGAAAATAGTAATTTGGATGATCAATTATCTAAAACTATCCAAAAAGCGGGGGGGGGGGGAGATAAAGCTACTAAAATTGTGAATATATAGCTTCAGCAACTCAGCAATCAGGCCAGACCTCACCAAAGGCCTCCTTAACAGGGGAAGGAGTGTGCATCTATGGTAGAAAGCCAGGGCACCTTAAGAAGGATTGTAGAAAACTGAAATGGGATTTAGAAAAAGAAGAGAAACAGATGCACTGAGAGGACATTTCTCTGTCTTACCAATACCTTAGGAAAAAATTAAATTACCATAAAAGGGAAAACTTCAAAGGCCCTTTGATTCTAATGTGTACAGACGGACCTGCCAAACTGTCATTCTCCTGGAACACTTTCTCAGTCTGTTGAGATCTTGCTTCCGGGCATGTCCTCAAATTCTTGGTTCAGATAAACTCTTCCGAACATTCCTTCATCACTGCCCTTTTCAATATTAGGCCCATCGGTGGGAGGAAGACAGAGAAGCCTAGACACCAAATTGATCAGCTCTTAGTTGAAACTATTCTCAAAATAAGACCTTGATAACTACTCACATTTTCAAATCAGTCCGTCATTCTCGGAGTGCTTCCTCTTACATTATCTCCTGTGCATCTCATGCCCTTGTTGGCCCCGTATTATTGGATCACCATTTTACTTAAGTCACTCTATTGCTCATCCATAGCAAGCAACAGTGCTGAAGCTTGAACCCATGTCTTAAAGTGCCACATCCGATGTTCTTTCCCGTCCTAACTTCCTCCCCACTGTGTTACAATTTCTTGAGCTGTGTGTGTCCTCCAACAAGCCCAGTGCCTCTCATCACTGCTCGCTTTGTACCTAAACAATGCATGTGCTCCACATTTCAGAATCCATCGACTGCATGTGGGATGGCAGTTACGAGTGTGATGCATCCCTACAATCGCTGCACTGCAGGCTCCGGGACATCAACCAAAAATCCCTGGTGCTGTCTGGACCACATGAGCTGCAGGCTCTTCACCTGAATGGAGAGGATGTGAACCAACAAGGTAAGTGGGAAATCTTGATTCCTCTTTTGGCACCCTGGCAGCTTGCTAGTCACCCACATTTTCAACGAAGTAGAATATTAAGGCAAATTATCAACATCAGTGAAAACAACATGTTATAAAAACATATAAGGTGGTGTTTTTTTTGGGGGGGGGGGTCCCAGCAATGACACCAGATTGATTTCCTTAGCATATTCATTTTCTGGCAAGAGATGTAACTGTAAGAAATTAGACTGCTCAAGCACGCTAGGATCATGGTCCGGCCAAGTCATCTAACAACAGTACGATATCAGTGCTTGCATTAGAAAGGGGACATTGGATGGACATGACCTAACTGCCTGTGGGTTCTTGTTTCCTGTGGTTGAGGTTGAAAGTAGAATGGTGAAGAGATAATGTGTCCACTCCCATTTCCAGCCCTGCCCCTGTGCTCCTAACAGCCTTCCTACCCAACACCAGATGGGCCCTTATAGGGAAACTTCACTGACAAGCAGAAATGTTTATCTCTCTGCTATAACTGTAAAATCTTCTAAGTCTAGGGAGCCCATTAGCTGTGGGATCTGCCTGGCACCCTGCCACCATGGCTGAGCCCTCTGTGCAGTGGTGTGGCCACGGGAGCTGCTGAAAGGAGCAGTGTGTTCCCTTCCAGGGCTGCTGACCTTGGAGAGAGGCACCCCTGGGGGGAGCATCTTGCTCTCAGCCAGGCCAGAACAATCCTGTTTCTTTAGAACTGGGTTGTGAGCATGACCTTAGGGCCTCCAAGTGAAACCATTGTGACTGAGGAAGATTAACATGAGTGTCTGTCTTTGCAGCCACTTGTCCCAGCTAAGCCTCACCTTGCCCAAGTTCTTCCCACTTGTTGCTCTACATCTTGGAATAGATGTGTGCCTGATTTCTTTCCGGAGGCCAGCTTAACCTCTTTGCTTGCCTTTCACATTGATCAAATCGTTCTGCTCGTGAGATGGGCCCATCACCACATGACAAGATGGCTTCCTTCCTTCCTTCAATTTTTAAAAATTAGACCCCCTAACTCTTCTCTGCCACTGTAATAGGCTCTGGGAAGTCCCCAGACCTTCTCTGGGAAAAACTGGAATCAACCAACTGACCCTGCTATAACCAGTGAGAATCCATACGGAGGTTCTTACAGAAGAGCCTAAATTAGATGAGTCTTGGGCTTGGGGTCCTGTGATTGGACCATCCCTGCCCTGCTGTGCATCCCTGAGCACAAGGCCCCTCTTCTTCCTCCAGTGGTGTTCTGCATGAGCTTCGTGCCAGGAGACGAGAATATCGACAAGATACCCGTGGCCTTGGGTATCAAGGAAAAGAACCTGTACCTGTCTTGCGTGGTGAAGGACAAGAAGCCCACCCTGCAGCTGGAGGTGAGTGAGCACAGCAGCCAAAGGCCCTTCTCAACTCCTCTGAAGCACCCCAAGCCATCACTGACTTCCAAGACAACCACCTTCTCTCCCTCCAACCCACCCCCCCACCCCCGCCACCACCGCCACCCGGAAAACCTGGAGGCAGATCTACTTGACAATTTGCAGAACTGTAAATATGCAATTGCTAAATGCATGCAACTTTCACTTCCACCGCAGAAAATTAAATCACTTCACTGATGATATTATGCCCAGTCAACACCCAACAGAGGATGCAGTGCTAGGGCTGCTCCATTTGATACATGACACTTTGGGAAATTAATCAATTCAAGAGAGTTGTCACCTGTTGTCACCTCCACTCTACTCCCAACATCACAATTATTCCCACCTTCCAGGTTTCTTAGCTAAAGCTTCATTTCCAAGTTGAAGTCGTTTTAGCCGAGGCCATTCAAAAATTTAATTAAACACACACACACACACACACACACACACACACACACACACACACAACACAGCAAAAATCCCTGGAAACGAGGCACTCCTGGAAGCCTTAACCTAATTTTCACTTTTAAAAAATGGCCGAAACCGGTTTGGCTCAGTGGATAGAGCGTCAGTCTGCGGACTGAAGGGTCCCAGGTTCGATTCTGGTCAGGGGCATGTACCTTGGTTGCGGGCACCTCCCCAGTGGGAGATGTGCAGGAGGCAGCTGATCGATGTTTCTAACTCTCTATCTCTCTCCCTTCCTCTCTGTAAAAAATCAATAAAATATATTTTTAAAAAAATGCCCACCTATATTATGCTCCCCGCCATCTGACGCTCAGTTCTAGGAAAGGATAAGAGCTCCGTCAGACACCACATGGAAAGTTGGGGTCACAGCGATCCCCCGGGAGTCTGGCTCTGGTCCTGGCTCTTCGGTTTCCTCTCTCGCTGACCCAGAGAACGGTCTCCCCAGAGTCTCGCTGTTCCTTCCCTCTCAGAAGTTCTTCCTTCTGTTTCCCTGCAGACATTTGACCCCCACGGTCAGTCAAAGAAGAAGATAGACAGGCGATTTATCTTCCACAAGAAGGAAATCAGGGACAAGGTAGAATTTGAGTCTGCCATGTACCCCAACTGGTACATCAGCACCTCGCAAGCGGACCAGACGCCCGTCTTCCTGGGAAGTACTAAGGGTGGCCAGGATATAACTGACTTCACCATGGAAATCCTGACTCACTGAAGAGACCTGTACCTGTGCTAAGTCGCCCCGAGGGCTGCAGAAAGGTACAGAAGAGTTTGAACATGGCAGGGTGCTGCACTTCACTGTGGGAAAGTGGGGAAAGCCCAGCCGCTTTCCCCACGTTAATTAGGGAGAAGCAGCCCCCTCCTCCCAGAGCCAACCCTCTCCCCTCTCTGCTCATACAAAGCCAGCCAGGCAGAAACCACTGCACATTCGGTTCACAGACTCCCTCTGTCCTTTGTGCCCAGCTTCCAATGAGCAACCACTTAAACTGTCTGTTTATTTATTTGTTATGGGTTCATCTATTTAATTTCGCTTAAGGGGGCCAGGAAGCAGCCGTCCCAGTCTGCAGTATCTAAGGAGCCCATGTGATGTGGATGAGTGTGCTGTCTTTATATCGAGTCCTTTCACCAAGCTGAATAAGCTCAGATTATTTGTATAGGAATATTTGTGAATGAGAAGTAAGATACTGTTTCAATAATTCTGAAATAAATTTCACTGAAAAATAAAGTTGTTCCCATGTGGTGACTGACTTTTCTTGGATCTGACACAGAAGAGGGAAGATAAATGGGGGCACGGGAGCCTGGCCGGGGAGCTGGCAGCGCGCTCCTCACAGAGTGCCACCCAGGACCTGGAAACATCCCTGCCCAGCAGGGCCACCTCCCACACATCCCCTGCTTTTCTGCTTTTCAACAAAAGGATATTCGGTGCAAAAGGCTCATCTGAAAACAGGATCAGCTGTAGCATTATAGGACTGACGGTTGAGGAAACAGCTGATGATCATTTCTCTGTTCATTGACTCAACAAACATTTATAAAGCAAATGCTATGTACTAGGGGCTGGGATCACAGAAACAAGAAAGGTGAGGCATTCCTAGTTATACCGGAGAGATACACAAGCAAAGGAAGGCAACATGACAAGGAGAGGTGATATAGTATCAGAGGAGTGACAGATCTGCTGTGAAGGACGATGGTCACCGAGCGACATACGAGTCAGGCCTCAAGGACAAGCAGCAATCCCCCATCTAGAAATAGAAAAGAAAGAAAAAGACATGGACCAGTGTGGCATGGGGATGTAATAATGAATGATGCCAGGATTGCAGGAGTCACCAGAAGCAAAGCCAAGACACAAAAAGAAACTTTTGTAACTCATATCTCAGACAAAGGAAGAATTTTCTTGGTATATAGAGTTTCTTCTAAACATTAGAAGAAACAAGAACAAAACAATAGGCAAAAATCCAACAAAAATATGTTAACAGGCTGTCAACAAAAAAGGAACTACTATTAGCCATAGCTGGTTTGACTCAGTGGCTAGAGCAGCCGTGGGCAAACTACGGCCTGAGGGCCGGATCCGGCCCGTTTGAAATGAATAAAACTAAAAAAAAAAAAAAAAGACCGTACCCTTTTATGTAACGATGTTTACTTTGAATTTATATTAGTTCACACAAACACTCCATCCATGCTTTTGTTCCGGCCCTCCGGTCTAGTTTAAGAACCCATTGTGGCCCTCGAGTCAGAAAGTTTGTCCACCCCTAGGCTAGAGCGTTGGCCTGTGGACTGAGGGGTCCAGGTTCAATTCTGGTCAAGGGCACATATCTTGGTTTCAGGCTCATCCCCGGCCCCGGCCCTGGTCGGGGCTTGTGCAGGAGGCAACCAATCAATGCGTCTCTCTCACATCGATGTTTCTCTCTCTGTCTTTCCCTCTCTCTTCCACTCTCCCTAAAAATCAATGGAAAAATATCCTTGGGTGAGGATTAACACACACACACACACACACACACACACACACACACACACACAAAGGAAATACTATTAGATCTTGGACAGAGTCAAAGGAGCTCAGCACTACTTACAACAGACAAAGTAATAGCACTTTGACTGCCAATGCTCTATCAGATTACAAATACCAAAAGTTTAACAACACACCCTGTTGGCAAAACTGTGGGAAGATCTCCACTGTTAAGCATTACAGGTGGGAGTATAAACAGGTACAACTCCCTCAGAGGAAAATTTTATGATAACTATAAAAATTACAAATGCATATCCCCTTTGGCCCAGCAATTTCACTTCTGGGGACTTATCCTGCAGATGGACATACACCCTTGTGAAATGACACATGATTAACATTACTCATTGCACATCACTTGTAATAGCAAAAAATGGGAAATGCTAAAGGAGACTGGCTAACCTGTGAGCTGTGCCTAGTATCCGGCCACTCCCTTCCAGGTCCTGAGCCAGGTCCCACAGGCTGTTTGAGAGGGTCACTGTTTCTCTTCCTCCACGTCCCTCCCTCTATCCCCTGCAGTCCTATCCCATCAGCCTGCAGAGGCAAAAATAGGTATGAAATCCTTCACCCACCACCAGGATCAGGAAGTGAGGGTTGAGGACTCCCGCCAGCACCTGAGCATCCTGATACGCTGCCCCTCTCAGCTTGGAGAGGAGCCCAGCCACAAGAGGGGCCGCCCGAGCCATGTAATTTGCCTGTGAATGTTGGGTTTGCATGAGTGCTTGGAGCAGGGGGATACCGTATTTTTCCGTATGTAAGATGCCCCCAACTTTTCCAACCCAAAATTTAAAAAATCAATATTTTAAACATAAAACAGAACACATTTTTATTTAGTAATTACCACAGGTAATGTTCACATACCAGTACTATGTAATTATGCAACATATCACTTTAACTTTGTTCATGTTCTCATGGCCAACCCTTCTCTCCTCATGAAATTGAAGCACCATTTTGCCTTTCCTGTAAAATCAACAATGTTCATTTCGTTTGCAAACTTTCTTTTTTTTTTTTAAATATATTTTATTGATTTTTTACAGAGAGGAAGGGAGAGAGATAGAAAGTTAGAAACATCGATGAGAGAGAAACATCGATCAGCTGCCTCCTGCACATCTCCTACTGGGGATGTGCCCGCAACCCAGGTACATGCCCTTGACCGGAATCGACGCTCTATCCACTGAGCCAAACCGGTTTCGGCCGCTTGCAAACTTTCTTGCCTGACACTGAATAAGCTTGGCTGACACACATAAGCCACTCTGGCGCTGCTCCATAATCCAAGTCATAAGCCTCTGCTCCAAGTTTGCCCATTTGCTGATTTTCCTCTTAAGGCCTTCTTTTTTCTTGGCATCTTAAGGAGTTGTTCTTCCTGTTTTCTCCACTGTCTGATCATACACTCAGTGGGAGTAGGTCCAAATTGACTCTCTGCAGCTCTATTTCCATGCTCTTTTGCATAGCTCATTACATTCAGTTTGAATTTTGCAGAGTAAGACAATCACTTAATGGTATTTATTTATTTATTTATTTATTTATTTATTTATTTATTTATTTTTTGACATCTTTATGGGCTCAGAACTCTCTGGTCCTTGTTGCATCTGCCTGTGGGAAACTGTTTATTGCCTTCACTATCTGATAAGCATAGACAGAGAACCCCTCGAAGGCTGGGTGCCTTTGAAGCCCTAGCAAAGGTCGGAGCTAGGCGCCACCTCTGTTTGTCCAGACAGTGGTAGCTGAAACTACTCTCCCATTTATTATTACGTAAATCCTTGCTGATGGGCTAGTCTGCCTGTTGCCAGGGGTCACCTGCCTAAGGGCTATGCTATGGGTGCATCCCAGATCAATAAAAGCTTGGTGAGGCCTGAGCACTGGAGGAAGTCCTTCCCCTTGAGTTGGACTTACTCGCCTGGTCCCCCAATATTTCCAAATTATCTCTTGTCTTTTCATATTCATTTGTGTGAGGCTCTGCTTCCAGTTCCTGAACCCTGACCCACGCGGGACGTGGGAAGGAAACACCCAACATCTGGTGCCCGACGGGAAAACTGGAAGTAAAGGCTTCGCTAGAGCAAAAAAAGGAAGTTTCACTGAAAAAGGTGAGGAAGAAAGAATTCACCGAGAAAAGGTGTGGAAAATTCACCGAAAAAAGGTGGGGGAAATTCACTGCACGCAATGCCCAGGATCAACTTCAGAAGTCGCGAGCTGTAAGTAGGCTGGGAACGTTTTCTTTCGCCAGGCTAACGGGGCAGGATTTGGTTAAAAAAAAAAAAAGTAGATTCTGCTTTTTAAAAAAGTAAGAAACTTTATTATAGACTTTTGATTTGCATGCTTAAGGAGTTAAAATTTTAGAAGGTAATCTCTTACAGTTTTTGCATGTTATTAAAGAACATAACCCTTGTTTTCTTGAAAAAGGTACATTAAATCTTAAAAGTTTGCCAAAAAGTTAATCAGAACTTGCCAAAAATTGTTTCCCCTTGTGGAAAACGGTATTTCATTTGCTAGAGCCTTTAAGAGAGGTTAGGGAGGATAGATCTCCTCCCCTTGCACCCTCCGCTCCTTAAGAGGAGCAGAAAGAAAAGAAAAAATGGGAGGAATGGCCTTCATGGCTCCCTCCACCTCCATGTCCTAATCCTGAAATGTTTAATTTGCCGTGAATAGAATCACCTGTGCAAAAAGGCCAACTTATAAAGAAATTGGAATATTAAAAGGTACTCTTTTAAATCAGGCTGAAAAAAAAAAAAGGAAAAAAGAGTGCCATGGCCATCGTAATGTGGTTTCTTGTCCAAATTAAAATCTTAATTTGTGTTTGGAATCTAAAATCTGTAATAAGAAATGAAATCCCGCTACTGAATCCGCCTCTGGTGTGGAGAGATTCAAAGGTGGCAAGAGAGAGTAGAGCTATAAGCTCTCCTACAATGAGATTACTTAATGTTTTATTTAAAAATTACCGGAGAACATCTTATGACAACCAAACTTTGTCTAAGATAACCTTGGGTGCTAGCCATGACTTTAGAAAGTGAAATAGGAAAAAATTTAAAATGTCTTTTTCTATTAAGCATGACTTTGGGGAAAATACGCCATCTGAGTCATTTGCTGAAACTTCCCCCAAAGCAGGATGTAGGGGAAGGGAAGGGAGCACATGGCTATCCAATGTGGACTCCCCCTGCCCAAGCATTCTAATTTAAAGTCCTTCTTGTAATTGAAAAGTTTTACAAAATTTAGAAATGCATCCGGGATTTCTGTGCACGTGTAAAGGGAAAAGACCAGTTTAAAAACGAGTGCGCATAGTTTTGAGCTGAACTTGACCTTTTGCTGTGTACAGAATAAAAACCCGAGACTGTTTTGGCCTTAAAAATGGCGCAGATGAACCTGACAAAGAAATACAGGCTGGTGTCCCAAGGCGATTTAAAGTAGCTCTTTTGAAATTTCCCGCCCTGAAGTTCAAATCATCTAAAAGTATTGAGATTTATAATACTGAAATGTTGATCTGAGTATGCCTAGTATGAAGTCTAGATGATAGAAGTTAATCTATTAATTGAAAATGCCTTATATTTTATTTTAAATGTATCCTTAAATGTAAAAGTATTGATTTGAAAAATGCTAAGTATTTAATTTGCTACCTAAGATTTAAAGCTCTGAAAGTTTAAGGTGCAAATTGAATCGGGAGAAATTAATTAAATATCTAATGCATAACTTGTTTTTGAAAAAATAAAATGTGTTTTCTCATAAATAATTAGGAATTCAAAATAT